AAATAAATAAATAAATACACACACACACACACACACACATATAGTGTGTGTGTGTGTGTGTGTGTATGTGTGTGTGTGTGTGTGTGTGCCGGAGACTGAGCCCAGCATCTCATGCATGGCAAACACACAGTCTACCACTGAGCTCCACCCTCAGTGCAGGAGATGGTCCATGCAGTTCCAATATTTTACATTCTATACTATATAAATGTATACTTTATATTTATACTTTAAATTGTAAGTGTGTACTTCATATGTTTATACTTTAATATATACACTTTGCATCCTGCTTTTAAATTGTTGACATTTATCATAAACACTTTTCTACACCATTATGAGACTGACATGCTACCTACTGTGCTGAGACACCTTTTTCTACACCATGAATAACTCTCCATAGGGCTGAAGTTGTAGCTCAATGGTACAGCGCTTGCCTAGCATGTGAAAAGCAATGGGTTTGATTCTCAGCACCATATACAAATAGATAAAATAAACGTCCATCAACATCAACAACTACAAACAAAATTTAAAAACTCTCCATAAACATTTTAAACATCTATATAATATTCCATCACATGGACATTCTCTGACTACTTAACCTTTCTGCAATTATAGATTTAGTTTTCTCCATATTCTAAATTACTTTTTTTCTGTGTTTTGTTGGATTTAATTGAAAAAATTTTTAGAACTTGGCTTTTTAGGTATACTTCTTATTACTTTCTTAGTGGCTTCTCTTGAATTTACTATGTAAAACCTTAATATACCTCAGGCTACCTTCAATTAATATTATATGCCACTGAAACTGTAATCTAAGACCCTGCAACATTGCAACCTCAGAACATTTCACTTTGTGCTTTTAGCTGTCATACATATTACTTCTGCAAAACTCTGTGGGCTGGGTGTACCCAGTTAATAGTATATTAACAAACAAACCTATAATAAATTGCTATTATTTTTTGCTTTAGACAGCCAAATCGTTTTAAAAAGTTGAAACAAGAACAGAATGGTTTATATCTATTTATGTCTTTCCGTTTCTGGTGCTCTGCATTCCATTGTGTAAATCAGTTTCCGACTATATCATTTTCCTTCCACTGAAGAACTTTTAAAAATACTTCTTCTAATGCATGTCTTTTGTAGAATTAAATCCTTGATACATTTAGAGTTCATTTTGTGTTGGTTGTGTTTAAGGGTCAAGCTTTATTTTTAATATATTGATGTTTAGCTCTTCCAGTACAATTTGCTTAAAAGTCTATCTTTTCCCTATCAAATTACCTTTGCATCTTTGTCAGTGGGTCAGTCATGGTAGCACACACCTGAAATTCCAGTGACTCAGGAGGCTGAGGATCATAAGTTTTAGGCCAGCCTCAGCAACAAAGGCGTTGAGCAACTTAGTGAGATCCTACCTCAAATAAAAAGAATGAGGGATGTAGCTCAATGACAAAGCATCCCTGGATTAAATCCCCAGACCCCCATGAAAAAAAAATCAATTGATCATTTGAGTTACAGATATTTCATTGATCTATTTATTCATGTCTATCTTTACACCCCAAACAGTAACTTGATTACTGTAGCTTTATTGTAAGTTTTGAAATTAGGTACCATAAGTCTTCCAAACTTATTCCTCTTTTTCAAGATTTTTAAAAATTATTATTCTGGGTCCTTTGCCTTTCTATATAATTATGTTAAGAATGGATTATTGTTTACTTTTAAACCTTGCTAGAATTTTTATTTGAATTGCATTAAAACTACAGATCAATTCCAGAAGAGTTGCTATTTTAATATCAAAATTTCCAATCCATGAACATGGTATAGCTCATCATTTATTTAGGTTTTATTTAATTTCCCTTTGCAATATTTTATAATTTTCAAAGTGCAAGTCACATGTTTTTGTTAAATTTGTTGACTAATTATTTTACTTTTATGCTAGCTAGCTAAATGGAGTTTAAAATGTTTTTCCTAGTTGTTTATTGATGGTGCATAGAAATTCAGTTGATTTTTTTGTATAAATGACCTCCTTGTATGCTGCAATAATGCTGAATTTGCTCAACATTTCTAGTATCTACTTTGTAGAATACTTTAGGTTTTCTAAATATTTGACCATGTGATCTGCAAATAAGAGCAATTTTGCTTCTTTTTGGATCTTTAGTCCTTCTATTTCTTTTTCTTGCCTTATGTACTATCTTGGACTACCAGTAATATGTTCTAAAGAGGTAATGAGAATGAGTATTTTAGTTTATTTCTGATCTTAGGTAGAAAATATTGAGCCTTTCACCATTGAGTTTGATGCTAGTATAAGGCTGGTCAAAGAAATTCCCGTCTATCTCTGGTTTGTTGAGAGTTTGTTGTTAATGATATTGTTGTAGCCACTCTTACCATAATACAGAAACGAAATACATCACAAGAGAATGGAAGATTCATATCCCACATGAACATAGACACAAAATTCTTGAACAAAATTTTAGTTTGTGGTTCTGAGAACCAAATTCAAGGTCTCATACATGTTAGGCATGTACTCTACCACTGAGCTACACCCCTAGGTCTTTATTATTGTTGTTGTTACTATAACTATTACCATTATGATTTTGAGATAGTGCCTCACTACTTTGCCAAGGTTGTCCTCAAGTTTGTAGTCCTCCTGACTCAGCCTCCCAGGTACCTGGGATAATAGACATACACCATCACACCTGGCTTGATGCTATTGAGTTTTTTTTGTTTGTTTTTTGGGGGGTTTTTTGTAATATTTATTCTTAAGTTTAGGTGGACACAATATCTTTATTTTACATTTGTGTGGTGCTGAGGATTGAACGCAGTGCCTCATGCATCCTAGGTGAGCGCTGTACCACTGAGCCACAACCCCAGCCCGATGCTATTGTTTTAATATCACAATTCAGTGTTGAATTTTGTCAGATGCTGTTTCAACATTCTTTGAAACAATCACATGGGTTTTCTCCTGTATTCTGTTAATGTGATAAATTACATTTATTGCATCTTGAATATGAAACCAAATTTGCATTCCCAGGATAAACACCATTCAATTATGATATATTATCTTTTTACAGGTATTGTTGGACTTAATTTGCTAAAATTTTGTTAAATAATTTTCCATCTATGTTCATGTGGGATATGGATCTTCAATCCTCTTGTGACTTGTCTAGTTTTTGTGTTATGGTAAAAGTGGCCTCAAATAAATGCATCTAGAAGCATCTTCCCATCTCCTCTGTTTTCTGAAAGAGCTTGGGTAGGGTTGGAATTACCTTTCATAAATACTTGATATAGTTCATTAGCGAAGTCTTCAGAGCCTGAAGTTTTCTTTGTGGGATGCTTTTATTTTACTTATTTTTATTTTTATTTTTTTATTGGTTGTTTAAAACATTACAAAGCTCTTGACATATCATATTTCATACATTAGATTCAAGTGGGTTATGAACTCCCATTTTTACCCCAAATACAGATTGCAGAATCACATCAGTTACACATCCACATTTTGTGGGATGCTTTTAAAACATAAAATCAGGCTGGGGTTGTTGCTTAGTGGCAGAGCACCTGCCTACCATGTGTAAGGCACTTGGTTCAATCCTCAGCACCACATATAAATAAATTAATAAATTAAATAAAGGTCCATCGACAATTTTAAAAATATATTTTAAAGAATATAAAATCAGTTTCTTTCATTTACATAATGTATTTCAAGTTGTCTACTTCCTCTTGTCAACTTTGAGTAATTTATTTCTTTTGAGGAATTTACTCATTTCATCTAAGTTGTAAATTTTATTGGAGTTCTTCATAATTTCCCTTATTATCCTTTTTATGTCTGCAGGATTGATTGTGATATCTCTCTTCATTACTCACTTGTGTCCTCTCTTTCATACTTGATCAGTGTAGTTAAAACTTACCTTTCACCAGGCACAATGGTGCAGGCTTGTAATCCCAGTTGCTTGGGAGGCTGAGGCAGAGGATCACAAGTCCAAAGCCAGCCTCAGCAAAACCTCAGCAAAACAGTGAGACCCTGTCTCTGAATAAAATACAGAATAGGGCTGGGGATGGGGCTCAGTGGTCAAGACCCCCTGAGTTCAATCCCCAGTACCCAGAATTTAAAAAAAAAAGAAAAAGAAAAAGAAAAGAAAAACTTACCTTTCCATTTTTTCTTTATATGTAATGGCTCTTCTCTCTCTCTCTCTCTCTCTCTCTCTCTCTCTCTCTCTCTCGGAATTGAAGCTAGGGCACCCTACTGCTCCTTTGCCTCCCCCTTTCTGGAGACCTAATTATAAGCACCCTAGACCACTTGAATTGCCTTGTAGGTCCCTGAAGCGAAATTCTTCAGGCTTCCCAGTCCTCCTCTTCCTCCATCTGCATTAAGTCTACTTCTCTCTGAGCTTCATTCTGTACGATATCTGCTGATATGTCTTCAAGTTTACTGATTTTTTCTTTGACTGTTTTTTCTCCTGGCAATGCTTCACATTTTCTACTTTATATATTTTGTGATTTTTTTTTTTTTTTGGTACTGGGGATTGAACCCAGGGGCACTCAACCACTGAGCCACATCCCCAGACCTTTTTATGTATTTTATTTAGAGACAGGGTATCACTGAGTTGCTTAGGACCTTGCTAACTTGCTGAGGCTGGCTTTGAACTTGCAGTCCTCCTGCCTCAGCCTCCAAAGCCACTGGGATTATGGGCATGCACCACCACACCCAGTTATTTTGTGATTTTTTAAAACTGGATGCTTAGCATTGTAAATTTTGCATTACTGAGTACTAAATTTTCTCATATCCCCTTAACAGATATTAGACTTCTTTTGGAAACCTGTTCAACTATTTGGAGATTAGTTTGATCTTTTCAAGATTTCCTCTGAACCTGTTCAGGGCAGGTCTGGTCTTTATTCTAAATCAACTTCTCAGGTGTGTTCTTTCTGGGGTTCCCACCAATGACTCTTGCATTCAGTGAGGTCTCTCCACTCTAGCTTGAGGGAATTCAGAAGTTCTTAGTCCTGTATGAGATTTCCAGTAATTTTTTTCTCCCTTTGTGTCTTGGTGTGTTTCTGTTGCTATAACAGAATACCCGAGACTGGGTGATTTATAAAGGAAAGGCATTTTTTTGGGCTCCAGGTTCTGGAGGTTGAGAAGTCCAAGAACATGGTGCTACGTCTGGTGAGGGTTGCATGCTGCTTTAACTCACGGCAGAACAACTGTGAGAGAGGGACAGCTGTACTTTGTAACAACCTCCTCTTGCAGAAGCGAATCCAGCCTGGAGAGAGCACGCTCTCACTCCCTCAGGAAAGGTGTATTAAGGACCTGATCACCTCTTGAAGTCCCACCATGACCACACCACTACGGCAATCACGTTTCCACATGGGTTTTAGAAGGACAAATATATTCAAACCCCAGCTCCTTGCCGGACTCACGGCGGCCAGCAGCCTTCTCACCAGAGACCAACTGCAGACACCTGGGCTCCTGGGTCCCCAGCCCCGCCCCGAGCCCCGCCCCTCTAGCCCCGCCCCCAGCCCCGCCCCGAGCCCCGCCCACAGCTGCCCCTCTGCAGGATCACTGCTCTGCCAGCCCTTCCCTTTCTTAGTTTGGAATTGTCCTCTGGGCAGAACGCAGGTGATGGCAGGGCTCCCTCTGTCCTTTCCCTTCTCTCGGGACTCACAATCCTGTACTTGCCATTGTTGAGTGTCTAAAAATAGCCATTCCCTGGGTTTCGGCCAATTTTCTCTTGTTTCCAGGGGGAGTGTATTTCTGGGCCATCTCACTCCCTCGTGGGCAGAAGTAGAAGGTGATATTTTTCTCTATAACAATAATCGAACCCGATACCTTTGACCATCCTGGCTGAGGTCACTCAGTCTCTCATTAACATAGTCGCAAACTTCCTGGCCCTTGCTGAGCAGACCCCCGACCACAATTAGCTCCCGTCTCAGCATAAAGCCCAAAGTTGTTACTCCAGCCAGACCCAACACCAGACTGCACGTGTGACCACCCGGACCCCCAGACCCAGTCCAGCCGTGGTGGCAGCAGCTGTACAAACGTCCCTGTACGGGGCCAGCAGAAGGACCTCCCAGACTGCTCTCCTACAAACTCAAGAGGAAGAATGAATGCACCAAGCTCTGGGCCGCTCCCTGTGCCACAACAGACAGCTCAACTCCTACTCGGCCTACAAGCCCCACATGATCTGGCTCCAGGCTTCCCCCTTCTCCCCTCCCTTCCCTTCCCTCTCTCGGCTGCAGCCTTGTCCCACTTGCTGTTTCTCAAATCAGCCAAGTCCTTCCTGGAATATCTTCCCCAGATGCCAAAGACTCATTCTGACTAATGACCCTGCTCTTCTCTCCTCCACCGCACCTATCACCATTGATTTGCTCTGTGTACCTGGTAATTTGTAGCGGGTGCTAGGCACTGTGGAGTGTCTCTTCCATCAGACAGGATGCTCCATGTAAGCAGAGACTACGTCTGTCTTGTTCACGCTGTGTCCCAGGAGCTGAGATCCTAACAGGTGCTCGGGAAATATCTGTTGAAGGAGTGAATCTCTCTGCAGCCTCCACTGGCTCAGAGGGTATTTCCCAGTCCTAACCGTAACTCCCGTCAGGTTCTCGCCTTGGGGAGAACCAAGACAAGACCATCCTTTACCCAAGAGCCAGGCTGATCAAGAGGCTGTTAAAGGAGGATTCCAAAGATAAGGCTGCTTCCTGCCATGCTCTGCGAGAATAGCAATGCGGGTGTCATTGAAGCCGAAGCCGAAGGGCAGGCAGCGGGGAGCTCTGAAGTTCACGGAGGCCAGGAAGAGACTGAGTACCGTGAGAGCAGACCAAGAGAGAGTGTCCAGGACAGAAGGGCGACCAGCGAGCCACGGCCCTGGGGAAGGAAGGCAGCGGCTTCTCTGAGGAATGGAGACAAAGACCAACAGGGCTGTGTCCAGAGGGGCAGAGGGCGCTGAGCGTCTGGGCTTCCAGCCAGGCTGGGGGCTTTATTCTAGGAGTTTTAGGAAAGTTGCAAGAAAGGAAGAGACAACATTTGGTTTATGTTTTGAAAAGACCCCTGTGGCACTATGGGGTGGGGCTGGGCGGACAGCGAGAGGACATGGAAGGTCGGGGCTGTGGGCAGACAGTGGCCGGAACCCGAGTGGCAGCAGAAGGTCACCTTAGGGCACATGGGGGAACCAGGACACCCAGGCCACTGTTGGACCAGGACAGGGTGATGGTCAGCATACGCCGAGTCTCAAGGGAAGAAACTTGAGCAGGGCAGCTGCTCCCTGGGGAGCCAGGGCCACCTCAGCCACCGGTGACACTTGCATCTGCCCCATCTGTGTCCTCCTGTCCCTGCTCTGGAAGCCTCCAAGGGCACTTGACCATCCGTCTTCAGCAGCTACCCAAAGTGTCGAAACCCAGCCTCTTCCCCAAGGGGGGAGAATGAAAAGGTACCGACCCTCCAGGCTAAAAAGGCTGAAAAGGCTGGCACTGTCCCCATTCGGTCCCAAGAAGAGACACATTTACGATACACTTTTACTTTGTGTTTCATGATCCTTCATCCAGGTTTGTGACACATGTTGGAATCATTACGCACTGATCGTCATTATTGGGAAGAATTTTGTATCACTGAAAATGAGACAATATTCAGTGGAATTAGCAGCACATGGGTTTGCAAGGACGTGACCTGGTGGTGGGTGACGTTCAACCAGATATGGTAGGTTCAGGTGACAATATGAGTGAAGGGACATCAAAACTTCAATTGTCAACTGTAAAGACGGTGACTTGGGGGCTGGGAGTGTAACTCATTGTAGCGCTTGCCTCGAATTCTCAGGGCCCTGGGCTCCATCCCCAGCACTGCCCAAAATAAAAATAGTAATGATGGCTGGGGTTGACTCCTGAGCCAGTCAGCCTGCAGGCCCAGGTCGGGCTCCCAAGCCCAGCACTGAGGGTTGAGGGTTGAGGGTTGATCTGGTCTTGGCTGGAAGGATGTGGAACTGCAACAGGGGATGGGCACCCTTGCTGAAGAACAGCCCCCATGCGCTCACCAGGGCTCCTAGAGCGCAGGAATGCAGAAGTCATGAGGCTCCCCCACCCTGTGAAGGGAGCTGGAGCCACGGAGCTCTTGGAAGGGCAGGACTTTACCTCCTGTCTCAGTCCATTCCATGTGGCTATAACAGAAAACCTGAGACCGACTTATAAAGCAAAGAGGTATCATTAGCACACTATTATGGTGACTGGAAACCAATAGGATGGCACCAGCTCCATAGCCAGGGTCTCCTGGCTATGTCACCACATGGGGGATAGCATTATCTGGTGGCAGAGAGAGGGGTCACCTGGTGAGCGAGAAAGCAAAAGAATGTGTTTTTTGTTTGTTTGTTTGTTTGTTTGTTTGTTGTGGTGGTGAGGATTGAACCCAGGGCCTTATGCACAAGGCAAGCACTCTACCAACTGAGCTATGTCCCCAGCCCAAGAAAGCAAGAGAATGGGGAGGAGCCCACTGGCTTTCTTGTGCCCAGCCCGTCTCCTTCACCAGGGTGCTCACCTCCACCACCACTCGCCTCCCACGAGGCCCCACCTCTTCAAGGGGTCACACTGGGACCAAGCTGGCACATTCCACCATAAGCAGACCATAGTGCCTCCTCTGATTCTCATGCGAGCCTCCAGGACAGGGCAGGATGGGCAGGGTGGGCAGGGCGGTAGTGCTGGGCTTGGGAGCCCGACCTGGGCCTGCAGGCTGACTGGCTGGGCAAAGGAGCCTGGGCTCAGCCACTGACCACCTGTTTCCTCAGAATTGGGCCGTCCACGCAGGCTGAGCTGGACTGGAAGGCAGTGCCGTAAACACCAGGCCCCCGGGGCACGGTCAGCAGGCAGCCCAGGATGTGCTTAAACCCAGAGGCAGAGATCCCTGAACTCCATGAGGACGCAGCCACCAAGTCCAGATTGTGGGAACTCTCCAGAACAAACACCTGGTGCCTTAACAAATGAAGAGGGGCTGGGGCTGAGGCTCAGGGGCAGAGTGCTCCCTGGCACGCGGGAGGCACTGGGTTCGATCCTCAGCACCACCACATAAAAACGAAATAAAGACATTGTGTCCACCTAAAGCTAAAAAATAAACATAAAAAAAGATGAAGAGCAGGGAAGAGGAGCAGGTGGGAGCCTGTCCACTACAGGGAACCACAGAGACAGGTCAGCCAAGCAGCGTGCGGGCTTCCTGGGACCCTGACCCAGATAAACGGCAAAAACAAAGAACCAAAGTGGCTTTTGCAAGATTCTAGAAACGTGGGCTGGGGATGTGGCTCAGCGGTAGCGCGCTCGCCTGGCATGCGTGCGGCCCGGGTTCGATCCTCAGCACCACATACCAACAAAGATGTTGTGTCCGCCGAGAACTAAGAAGTAAAAATTAAAAATTCTCTAAAAAAAAAAAAAAAAAAAAAAAAGAATAAGATATAAAAAAAAGATTCTAGAAACGTGAGCACAGCCTGTGAAGGGATTCAAGGGGTGCCCCCACTTGAGTCTTTAAGGAAAGTTCCTACCCTTCCCAGCTTCGTGCTGAGAGATGCCATCATAGGTCGTGCCTGGGGACCACCTTGGAGGGAAGCAGGTGGCGCTGGCGGAGTGTGAGTGTTCGCTGGGATCGCCTGTTTGGGGTATTTTCAAAATCCTCTTTTCAATGAAAGGGCTTGGTGTCGCTTGTTCTGGTTTTTGGATGGACGTCCCGTTATGCTGACCCAGGCTCAAGGGACCTTCCTACCTAAGCCACCCAAGTACCGGGGACCACAGGGGCCCCCCTGCACCCAGCTCAAGAAAAGAGTTTTTTGGTTTTGTTTTTTAAGAACAATGAGGTGCAGAGAAGTACAGCAACAGCTGGAGTCACACGGGAAGGCAGCTGCGCCCTCCCCCGGGACCCAGGGCACGAAGACGTATCCCCGTCACCGGCCAGACCCCTCCTTCCAGCCCTCCTGCCTCCTTGAAAAGCCAAGACCTTCCTGGGTACAGATGGGACAGGGCAATCGGTGACACGGCACGACCTACGTAGATGCCCGAACACACGCTCGTACAGTAGAGAGCACAACTCTGGGCGGACTGCCCGACGGGTCTGTACCTGTCACTCACCGGGTAACCTCCACCCTGTGCCCCTGGTGCCCTGGGACACTGTGCTTGAGACCCCTGAGCAAGAGAGGCGGGGGCTTATCTGATGAGCGCTCTGGGCGCAGGCTCCTCCCTGCCCTGTGAGGTTCTGTGTGGTGAGAGGGCGGGTGGACTGGCAGGGGCCAGGTGCCACCCTCCCTGTGAACCAGCCAGCTGCCAGGGCCCAGGACAACCCCTTTCCAGGTTCAGAGCTCCACTGGAGTTAGGAGCTGCCAGCCGCCCAGGGTGCCTGGGGAAGAGGCCCAAGACCCCAGGGGCCGTGAGCGCTGTTGAGATGGTGTCACCTCTGGGCCACGCAGCTTCCACTGACTGCCCAGTGCTGGTGTAACGCTGCTTTAATCTGTGGAGGCCAGCCCACAATGGCCCACTGGTGGGGCCGCTGGGCACTCCGCCTGGCTCCTGAAGCTCTCGTGAGTGGCTGTGATAAGGCCAGAGGGCCTTGACCGCTGGAACCGCGAGCCGCAGGCCGCCAGCTGGGCCCAGAGCTGATCTGCACGCCTCTCAGGCTGGGGAAAGGGCTCTCCTGGGGTCAGCGCAATCAATATCTCATCTGCAGCTCTCCTAGCGGAAGTGATGGCTATTGGAACATGGTAATGGGTGTTGTCTAGTGGAAGAGACTAATCTTCCCAGCTGTGGAGGGCTCCGCAGGTGGCCACAGTCAGCAGGCTCGGCTCAGTGGCTCACTGCTGTCACTGCTGCCACCAGGGCGTTCCAGGCACTTTTAAAGCCACAGCGGCCTCTCCGCATGCTGGGGTCCAACACCGCTCTCCTGGTACCAAGCCTCAGGTGATACTGACCCAGTCCCTCCAAGCACGGATGGGGAGACCGAGGCCAGTGATTGGCCCAAGGCCTCACGGTCAGTTAGGTGAGGCCCAGGAAGCTCTGCACACTCCCCAGCCAGGGACACGGACTGTGACCTGCAAACCTACGGCCTTGGGCCAAACTCGCCCCTCAGGTGTGTCGGGGTGGGTACGAGCTGGGTCCATGCGGTTAAGAAAGGTACAGTTGGGGGCCATCAGGGTTGGCCACAGGCGCCCCACTCTCCGACGCTGCGCACCGGCCAGCTTCACCCCGTCCACCCCGCTGACACCAGCCCCCCATTTCAAGGGCTCTGTGAGCTCCTCTTCCTCAGAGCCCTGCGGAAACCCAGCAGTGAGGACCAACCCCATGGTGGTGGGATCCCAAGACCCCTGATACCCAAGCAGCCTGGCCCCTGGGAAGCTGCTGAACTGGCTCCTACAAACTGGCCGTGGGACCGTGGCAGGTGCCTTGCCCTTTTTAGGCCTTGGTTTGCCCAACTGTAAAGCCAAGGGCTTGAGTGCAAAGACCCCTTAAGTAGACAGGGGTCCTCTCCGTCATAGGTCCTTTACGCCCTTGAAGGCAAAGCCCCCTCCTGATTTCTCCTCCAGGGGGTCCCGGGGGCTCCTGCTGATGAGACCCAGAGGGCTCTGCAGGGACAGGCCCCAGGATTCCAGGCACGGTTTCAGGACACTAGCTGGGGTTCTGGGCCAGCT